GGTGTGTGTGTGTGTCGGGGGGTGATGTCCCGGGGCGCCGCCGGCACGCGCGCGTCCGTTGTGTGCCGCGCGCCGCCTCCCCTTTCCGTGGCCGGTTGCCCCGCGCGGCTGAGGGAACCCGGCGGGGCCCGTCCCGCCTCATCCCCGTCAGCCTCCAAACCCCGCTCCTTTCCCTCCTACCTGCGGCTCCAGGCGCTCCCGGAGCGCCGGGGCGGGGGGTTGGCCGCCCGCTCCCGGAGGCCGCCGTTCCGCTCCGCCTCGCCGAGCGGTCCGGGAGCCCCGGGAGGCGGTGCTGCCTCCGGCATCACCTGTGACCCTCCGCGCACTGCCTGTAGCGCTGCCATTTATTATTATTATTTTCTATTTTTCTTTTTTTTTTTCCCTTTATTATTTTCTCCATTCCCCCCGCGCCCCCGCCTGTCTCGGGGAGGCGGTGGGGGATTTTTCGCCCCTGCCTGCCATCCGGTGAAACCCGCCCGCCCTGTGCCGTTCCTCCCCGTTCTTTTGTGTCGTTGCCTTCGCATTCGTGCCTTTTCAGCAAACCCGGCGAACGCGTTCCGGCGCCTCGGCTTCCTCAAGCTTTCCTCAAAAGTGCCAGGAATTCCTTTACCGATTCGGTGCTTTCGATTCGACGTTAAAAGGTGCAATTAACACGGCGGTATGGGGGTCAGATCGGAGGTCTGGTCTCGTTGAGGTTCCCCTTTCTGCGAGCGGCACACAGCAGATGCTTAGGAAACACCATAACAACCGGGGGAGCATGCTGTGAAGCTTTGGGAAACCAGCCAGGCCTCCAGCAATTTGAGGTTGAGGGACTTCCTGACTCAAATGCCATGTTTTTTAGTATTTAAGGGCCCTTTTTTCTTCCATGATTTAGATGTGCACGTTTTCAAAAAAGAACGAGACAAAGGCTTGGAAAAAAAACTAGAAAAGGTTTTTTTCTTCACCTCATGTTATCGTCGCAGGCAATTTCATTTTGCCAGGATGGAATTTGCCTGCCCAAGGATTACTGATTCATGAGCAACATGTTGTGTTTTAAATAGGTATTCGCAGCAGATATTTTCTATGTTTATGGTAGCTGTAAATAATAAGATTGTTTTTAATGTCTGTTTTTACAAGTAGTTTGCAAAAAAAGTCTTAAAACCTAAAAGAACTGTTAAATAAAATGCAGTATAGTAGGAACTTGGTCAAAATCGCAAGTGTTTTACCGTAATTCAATATTGACAGCTTTGAAAATGATTATATGAATAAACTGCTAACATTTAACTGTTGTTGTTTAAGCTTAAAGAGTTAACTGGTATAAAAAGAAGAGGTTTATTAATAGAACAGATTTCTCATTACATCAAGATTTCTGGTAAAGTTATTTCAATAATGCCATCATAGATTTGTCTGTAATAGCAAAAATCGTGGTGATCCCTAGGGACGCTAGCTATCAACTAGATTCTGCAATCCTAATTCAAGAAATAGCTTCATGCCAGGAGCTCCTAACCTGATTGCTCTTTTAAGGAACATTTGCACGAGTGGGCCTCGTTTTTCACAGGCAGTGTGAATGTCAGGCGAAGTGGAGCTATTTCAAAAAATTGCATACCCCTCCCTCCCCCGCCCCCAGTGGAATTTTATAAGAAGGTCATTATCAGTTTCTTGGGGGGTGAAAGGAGGTAGTGGGTTGATGTGTGTATATATAGATAGATATTTATAAGGTTAAAAATAGCTTAGAAAACTGACAACTATAGCTGTTGTGAATGACTTTTATGTAAAGATGGTTTTTCCTTTTCTTTGGGTACATCACTGCTTCTGCCAACAGACTGGAATGTGTTCTCACCTAGCCAACAGATGTTTATTCTAAAACCTAACATATTTGACTGTAAAAGCCCTACTCACTTTGAACTATACTGAGCTCATGATGGACAGTTTAAAGTATTCAATATATTTTCTTCAGTAAGTTAATGAATAGATTTAAATGCTTCTATTGCCAGCTTATGCCAAGAAAGCTGTTGCAGTGCAACTTTCCTTAGCTCACTGAATCATTTTTATCACAAAAAAGCGATCGGTTCAGCTGAACTTCCAAATAAAATTAGTTTTGTTTATAACTAGCCTCTCGAAAAAGTTGTACTTGTTTTATGTAATTATTCAGATTACTTATAATACACAGTTTTTAGCAGTACTTTTTATTAGTAGGTCTCAAAGCTCCTTGCAAAAGAATTCAGTGTAATTATTCTCTTATCTAAGGGTAATTATTCTCATCTCATCTAGTGCTCATAAAGAGATCATTGTCTGCCTGTGATTGCTGTAAGAATATCTATAAGAAGGTCTAACAATAAAATCAGATTTTTGATTTAATTTTTTTTGCAATGGAACCAACACGAACTCATGTTTCTGTTTTGTACCGCTTTCTATTGTAGCAGTTCTATTTTGTTTAATGATGCCTGAGGTCATTTCATACTCTGCCTTCCATACCAAGGCTGAAAGCTAAGCCAGTGCTTTAAGTAGAACAGACTTCTTCTCTTTGTGTCAGAAGAGACCTTGCTGAAGGCTTAACCAAATTCATTGATGAGTTAGAGAATGATTCAGGACAGTTTCTGTTAAGGTGATTGAAGTAGTAATGGTGCATGTCTCTAGTTCAGTTACCAGGGAGCTTTCACTGCTGAGAGAGGTTGTACAGATGTGTCTTGATACCTATTGGGGGGGAAACAAAGAAAAAAGGATGTGTGTATGTGTGAATGAATGTGTTATGTGGCCAACATCCTCATATCTTCTCGGCTTTCCTTCATTTCCACCTTGCAGAGCTGGTAGAAATGGTATGGAATCTTGCATGTCATTTTTTTGACTGGAACCACCAATTCCAGTCACCTTTGGTAATTTTTGTAATGCATCTGGCAGCAGAACAAACTGTGTGAAGTACACACCCTTAAAATGTTGTTTTCCAACTACCTCTGTTGTGATGTGCAGATGATTACCACTAATTGTAATATTGGGGCATTTTAATAATTTAGTTTAGGACTTGAGATCTTCTACTGGGTTGATACTTTCCAAAATAGGACAGAAAGCCATGTATTTGTTGGTGAGGTTTTTTTATTAGTATTATTTTTTATTCAAGACAATACATTAAAGGGTCATTTAGGGATAAAATACAAATTAAGAAATGTATGAAAGATATGATAACGGAAGGATTGTAGTTTGGGAACTATATAGTATACTATATACTAAATAGTGTGGGAACTGCATTCCCAGGTAGTGTAATACTGTCCAGAAATGTGAGCTCCTATAACTTAGATCTAAGTTGTAAAACTTTTATTGAGAGGGACAAAGGCTTACCTGCTGTACTGAAATGTTTGCCAGCAGTCTTACAGGTGTAGTCAGTGACTTCAGTTGGTTCCCTGTAGATACAGTGTCTGTTTGTTGGCAGACTAGCATCTAGACTTTGGTTAGATCTGTGTTGATTCAGATTATTTGAAAAAACAGTCCAAGAGGAAATGTTCTGAGAGGTCCATTTTTAAGAAGGTTTTCCTGCCTATTTCTGTGTTCATTGGTTTTGTGTGACATTTGTTTTGATCCATGCTTTTGTATGTGATTCATTGTTTCTGTTGTGTTATTTTTAACTAATGCCTTTGTTTACATCATTTTACAGTACTTAAAACTTTAGTATCATTTGAATGGTGCATAATAATAGTTTTCACTTTTGTGCTTACACCCATGAAAAACCTTAGTGTTATTCAGCTGCAGATCGTATCCTTGGTAGCTATAATACATCAAAGCTGGTCTGGAGAACCTCCTGCTGGAAAGCTGGGCTGTTTGTGTGGTGTGGAGGTCCCAATTTGTTTGTGATTGTTGCCTTCTGCATCATTTCAGAGTTAGCAGACCCAGTCATACGCTTTCCTAGTACCCTGGGTCTGAATAGTCTCCAAAATCCTCATCTAGTGCAAAGTACTCCTTGTGAAGCATGTACTTGAAGATTAACTGTCCCATTAGAATGCAAGCACCCAGAATTTCTCAGTACTAATATCAATACATCCTATCAGTTCTTCCTCCGCTTTGTATGCGTGATGGAATAGATTCCTCTCCTTTTGAAGACACTCTTCTCATTAAAAATTTGTTGAAGCAAATATCTTGCAGCTAAACTGATTTCGAAATAAAATCTTCATATATCTCTCGTTTCACTAGTTTGAATAATAATTCCAAAGTAAAATCTGGAAGAAGGCCAGACCCATTCACATAGCCATTTAAAGAAAATTACTGCAAATACTTTACTAAGGGTACCTGGCACCATTTAAGCAGACAAAAAACATAGGAGCCATAAATGTTGGAGAAAATTTGAAAGAAAAGAGTCTTTCTGCACGTATATTAAGAATACAATAGAAAAGCAATGTTTTTAAAGCTAAGTAGCAAATAAAGTTATTGTGGAAAGCAAAGGTTGGCTGCCTGCTGTGATTGTGATGGATCACAGTCCACAGGAGGCTCTTTAGTTGGAAAAAGACCATAACTAACAAAATTCTTAAATTGTGAGAGGGAGAGAGTACTCTCACTTTTATTCTGTTTGGGGTACAGTATCTAGTACAGTGGGAACCCTGTTCTGTTGGGCATCCAAGCATTACCAGCAATGTTATTGCTGCCTGCACTTGATGAAGAACAGATCTCCCTATTCTAATGGCACAATGGAATGACTTCTAGAAAATCTTTTCAGTTGTAAATAACTTAAAAAAAAAAATATACAGCACAACCCCAAAGATCTACCTGTCTAAAATGTGAATAAAATGCACAAAAGGGAGGTTGACTAACACAAATCCTCTCATGCAGATTATATAGGCTGTGGGTAATGGTTAATGTTGTATAAAATATAAAAGATGTTACTCATGAAGCTATTTTGTGTTAAGTAAAACTTGAAAGGGGGAGTGAATTCAGCTAAGGGAGAAGGAGGAAGAGTTACATATTTGTGGTGTCTTCCCCTGCTCTCATGAGTGATGTAAGTATATTAAGAACTGTTACTATATAAATATCTTGGCTGCCATACAAGTGCCCTACATAGTGTTTTGAAATGAGGGAATTGAACAGTGTAGGTGTTGAACCATCTTTAGATATTTTACCTTCCTTTTTCCCAGGCACAAAACTACAAACCTAAGAATGGTGTATCAGCTCAGACCAAAGGTGTTTCTTCATCAATATCTTGTTTTTAACAGTGAGTGCTAGCAGATGCCTAGGGAAGAGTATCATAGGGCATGCAAATAGCTGAGTGTCTGAATGCAGGTATCACTGGTTCTAGCAGGATAAAATTTAAGGGTTTCTGGGCAGATAATTTGGTATTTAATCATTTGGTTTTGAATAGTTGTGGTGAATTTATGCAATCTCTTTTTGAACCCTTGATAGCTTTAGCATCCACAGCATCCTATGACAAAACAATGACAGAAATATAAGTGTCCATTTTTAGTTAAACTGTTGCCAGCTTGAGTTGCAATCCTTTATTTTTAATTTGTAAAACTTGATATGAAACTTTTATGGATAAAGTTGAGTGCTTGCTATGTGCCTATGGAATATCAGGCATTGTGTGCAGACTTTCTTTTATTTACTGGGAAATATAAGAAAGAACCCTTTTATAAAGTCTTTTCACTTTCAGTAATGTCCAGTTTGTTTATGTTTTGCATTTCTCTAA